GCTAATTTTTTATTTATTGTAGAGATGAGGTCTCGCCAAGTTACCCAGGCAGGTCTTGAACCCACGAGCTCAGGCCATCTACTCACCTCCGCCTCCCAAAGCGCTGGGATTACAGGCTGAGCCACTGAGCCCAGCTATATCTTGGCTTTATATATAATAGTAATTTTTTTTTTATTTCCTAAGAACCAATTTTTGTCTTTTTTAAGGTGGCGACATCTTAGAAAATGCCTGGTTTAAGGTGAAGCACAACCGGGCTCGGTGGCTTAGCCTGTAACCCCGCTCCTTGGGAGGCTGAGGTGAGTGTATTGCCTGAGCCCGCGGGCTCAAGACCCACCTGGGCAACTTGGCGAGACTTCATCTCTACAATAAATCAAAAAATTATCCAGGCGTGGCAGTGCGCGCCTGTAGTTCCAGCTCCTTGGAAGGCTGAGGCAGAAGGATTGCCGGAGCGCAGCAGGTCGAGGCTGCGGTGGTCGGGAGCGGCCACTGCACTCCAGTCTGGGTGACAGAATGAGACTCCAACTCTAAAAATAAAAATAAAAAATAAAAATAAGGTGAAGCAATATTTTCATATTATGATTTTTCCAGAATTTTTTTCAGGTGCTCTCTCTCTCTCTTTTTCTTTCTTTCTTTCTTTCTCTCTCTCTCTCTCTCTCTCTCTCTCTCTCTCTCTCTCTCTTTCTCTCTCTTTCTCTGTCTCTGTCTCTCTCTTTCTCTGTCTCTCTCTTTCTCCCTCTGTCACCCAGACTGGAGTACAGTGGCATACTCATGGCCACCCTAGCATCGACCTGCTGGGCTACGGTGATCCTTCCATCTCAGTCTTCCAAGTAACCGGAACTACAGGGCGTGCTGCCATGCTGGCCAGTTTTTTACTTATTGTAGAGATGAAGTCTCACCAAGTTGCCTGGGCTGGTCTCGATCCCGCCGGCCTCGGCCTCCCAAAGTGCTGGGATTACAGGCTGAGCCACCAAACCTGGCCTGCGTTTTTCTTTTTTAACAGTTTTAATTTTTATGGAACAAAGGGGAGTTCGTAAGACTGCCAGTTTGGATATGGTGTCCCTTTGGGCATCCATTTTTTTTTACACTGCTGGATATAACTTCTAATTTTAGTTTCTTCTACAATGTAAGAGCCTTTTTGAAAAAAAAGTCTTTATTTTTAATTGTAGTTAAAACGCACCATAATACCGTCTTTGCCATTTAAAACGATAAAAGCTTTTTGATAAGTCAATTTCAAGATTCTGACATAGGATGTAAAAAGAAAATATTTCATTCAAACAGCTTTATATGTAAATGATCCATTTAAAAACATTTTCAACTGTACAAGGTCCTGAATTTCTCAGCTTGGTATTTTATACTTGGGTTCAATAATTATTTGAATAAGTGAAGAAATAGGAGAATATCATTTTTTCTAGTATATCTTTTAGTAAATTTGGTCCTTTCATTTCTTTAGGTGGCCGTCAGACTCAAGAGCAACGAACTCAGAGAAATGTAATAAATGTACCTGGAGAAAAACGCACTGAAAATGGGGTAAGTGATAATGAATTAAACTGAAAAATATTTTTTTTTTTTTGAGTTGGACTCTCACTGTGTCACCCAGACTGGAATGCAGTGGCATGCTCACGGCCATGTACAGCCTTGACCTGCTGGGCTCAGGTGATCCTTCCACTTCAGCCTTCCAAGTAGCTGGAGTTACAGGTGCACACCACCACCCCAGCTAATGTTTTGATTCTTTGTAGAGATGAGGTCTCGCCAAGTTGTCCGAGATAGTCTCAAATCCCTGGACTCAGGCAATCCTCTTGCCTCCACCTCCCAAAGTGCTGGGACTATAGGTGTAAGCCACCGTGCCCAGCCAAATTGAATTTTTAAAGTTGCTTTTTGCCACTGCCAATGAGCTTGGGCTACAATTTATAAGTAAATATTTTTGAGCTGGGCTTAGTGGCTCAGCCTGTAATCCCGCGCTTTGGGAGGCTGAGGTGAGTGGATTGCCTGAGTCCGCGGGTTTGAGACCTGCCTGGGCATCTTGGCGAGACCTCATCTCTACAATAAATCAAAAAATTAGCCGGGCGTGGTAGTGCACGCCTGTAATTCCAGCTACTTGGAAGGCTGAGGCTGAAGGATCGCTGGAGCCCAGCAGGTCGAGGCTGCGGTGACCAGGAGCAGCCACTGCACTTCAGTCTGGGTGACAGAGTGAGACTCTAACTCAAAAAAATAAAAAATATTTTTGGAGTGGAAATTGTCATCTTTGTTGAATGTTTCAAAACATTATGTGCAGACATAAAGAAGTGATCATTGAGTGGTTTTGTCAGTTCACACAATAGTCCATGAGCCGGATCAAGTCTCCCTTGGGGCAGCCCTCTGCGTGCCCTTCAGGTACTGCTGCCATAGCCTCTCCTGGATCGGCAGTGGGTTCCTCTGTGCACATGACAATGACTCGTCTCTGTGGCAGCAGATGGGCTCAGCATAGACTGAGAGTTGAGCAGGCAGACTTGCTTTGCATCTTCATTGTTGGTCTGGCTCCTTTGTCAGGTTTTGAGAGGCCAAGAGGATGGTGGATTGCAGGAGTTTCCTGTCATTGTGGTGTAGAGTTGGAGAACAGGTAGACCACTTAGCACAGGTCAGGGAGGATGTGGGGGCTCTTTGTCAGATGTGTTAGTAGTGTGTGCTGAAAGAATGAGAAGGTAGGGACATTTTAACCTGGTCTTTCTACAAACTTTAGTAATAACTTTTCCAGATGCTATTAAGATTAGAGAATTAGTTGGCTTCTTTTTCTGGCTCTACCACTAGTGGGCATACAACCTTGGGCAAATTACTTCCCAGCACAGTGCCTAGCCCAGTTAGGTGCTGGTGAAGGACATGAGTCTGGAGTGTGAACAGCAGGCTGGCTTCAGGGCTTTCTAATTAGCTACATTGGAGCAAGTTACTTTGCCTCTCTACTTCCCAACTTGCTACTGAATTTCTATTTTAGATCTTTTATTGGCTCCATTTGTGACTCTAAATGATTTACTAAAATCTCTGTTTCTTTGTACCATCAGTTTTTTGGGGTTTTTTTGAGTTGGAGTCTCACTCTGTAGCCCAGACTGGAGTGCAGTGGCCACTTCCGGCCACCGCAGCCTTGACCTGCTGGGCTCTGGCGATCCTTCCGCCTCAGCCTTCCAAGTAGCCGGAATTACAGGCATGCGCTACCACGCCCGGCTGATTTTTTTTATTTATTGTAGAGATGAGGTCTCGCTGCCCAAGCGGGTCTCGAACCCGCGGGCTCGGGCAATCCACTCACCTCAGCCTCCCAAAGGTGCGGGATTACAGGCTGAGCCACTGAGCCTGGCTTGTACCATCAGTTTTAAACATCTTCCTTCCCTCCTTCCAATTCTTTCAGCTGTACCAGACTTTTATGTTGTCAAGGTTGACAATATTTGTGGACTGTTGTCTAACTATAATTAAGCTTTTTATTTTCTGCCTATTGATTTGTTATAAAGTTGAAAAACATTTAGTTTTGTTATTTTATGTTTTGCAGGTATTATCCACTGCAGAGTCATGTGGTATACTCTTTGGTTTCAATATCATAGTCCTTGTGTCACTCAAGGAGAAATATTCCTAATGTCAAGATTATAGATTGTACTTCCTTACTCCAATTTCTAAAAATTGTTGCACAACTTTTCTTCTCCTGCCCTCTGATATACTTGTCCACTCCAAATCCAGAGCCTCTACAGAGTTCTTCCAGGCATACCTGCTTCAGGATTCTTAAGAAATAGAGGAACAGACCCCACTTGGAAGAAATTTTCATTCAGTAAAACTGGAGTGGGGGCTAGGAAATCCTCCCATGTGATTGTGTTGCCCTGCCAGGTTTGGGAGCCTTCAGGTGCATCTGTAGCTTATTTGTCCAACAGAATGTTGGCGCTTCTTTGAGTCCTAAGGTTTACCATGACTTGAACTTCAGAGACAATGACATATGTTGACTAGGCTGTGTGTAAAGTGGGGTGTGTATATACATGATGTGCAGAAGGGACTCAGAAGGAGAGGATTCCACAGGTATAATAAAGTAGGTAGACCAGTTTTGATGTGATGGATCTGTGACCTTTCTTTATGAAGTTGTCTCTGGTTAACATGGAGATAATGTGTACATTTTAGGTTCAACAAAACTAAGACCCAAAACCAAGATTTAAAGCATGTTTGTATTCTTTATGTGAGTTTATAATTAGAGGAAGGCATGAGAGCTACTCTGGAGGAATAATTTGTGCTGGAAGCATTACATCAAAGATAGTCCTGTATTTTATGACCCACACACCTGCCTTTCAAGCCCAACAATGCATTACCTTGCAAAGCACTTTATTGTCTGCAAAGCACTTTTACGTGCATTTTTAAGTTACTAAGATATTAAAAACATCTTTCCTTCAAAATGTTTCTGAGTATATCTTGGTTGTAGAATAATGACACACTAAACCTTCTGCCTGGTGGACTGAGCCAGCCAAGGACAGATCAAGCAGCCGTGGCGAGGGACGGAGGGCGTGCATGTGGGAAGGGAGGGTAGGATGCTGTGCTGCTGTGATTCATGCCATCAGCAGCTGGTGAGGTCAGATGCTGGGAGGCCCTGTTCTTGAAAACTGCAGGTCATCAGGTCAGGTGAGTCCCTGTGCTGGTTTCACAACATGCTCTAAAGGCAGATTGATGTATCCTCATTCTATATGCTCGTATTGGTGTTGCCAAGACTACCTCCATGTTCCCTGATTCACTAGGAAGACTCAACACTTGACACATACTCGTACTTCTGGCTATGATTTACTAGAGTGAAAGGATTCAGAGCCAAATCAGGAAAGGGAAAAGGCACATTCCACTTAGGTGTTCTGGAAGCATCCCTTCTTGTTTTCTCAGCTAACCAGGTTTAAAACCTGAGTCAGTTTCAGCTTTATTCTAGAGTGTCCAGCAAGTTGCTAAGGCATGTGTTTTCTTCTAAGAGCTTTATAGTTTTAGTTCTTACATTTAGTTCTGTGATCTGTTTTGAATTAATTGTTGTATATGATGTGAGGTTGAGATTCCAGCTCATTCTTTTGCATGTAAATATCCAGTTGCCTGAGCAGTTCAACTTATGATCAAATTAATTGACCATAACTGTGATAGTTTATTTTTGGAAGCATTCATTATTAGTATAGTCACTCACTCCCCCCATCCCCATTCCTAGATATAAGGAACTTATATCTAGAATATATAAAGAACACTCAGAACTCAGTAATAAATAACAAACAAATAACCCAGTGTTAGAAAGAAATAGGCAGGCCGGGCTCGGTGGCTCAGCCTGTAATCACAGCGCTTTGGGAGGCTGAGGTGAGTGGATTGCCTGATCACGCAGGTTCGAGACCCGCCTGGGCAACTTGGCGAGACCTCATCTCTACAATAAATCAAAAATTAGCTGGGCATGGTAGTGCGTGCCTGTAGTTCCAGCTACTTGGAAGGCTGAGGCAGAAGGATCGCTGGAGTCCAGCAGGTCGAGGCTGCAGTGGCCAGGAGTAGCCACTGCACTCCAGTCTGCGTGACAGAGTGAGACTCCAGCTCAAAAAAAAAAGAAGAAATAGGCAAAAGATTGGACATGTCCTCAAAGAAAATCTATGAATGCTAAATAAGTGCGTGGAAACCTGTTCAGCATTGTTGGTCTTTAGGAAAATACAAATTAAAACCACAATGAAATACCATTACATGCCTATTAGAATGTTTAATGTTGCTGGGTGTGGTGGCTCACACCTTAATTCCAGCACTTTGGGAGGCAGAGGCGAGAGAATTGCCTGAGCCCACAGGTTTGAGACCAGCCTGAACAACTTGGCAAGACCTTGTCTCTATAATAAATAAGAAATTAGTGGGCATGGTGGCGTGCATCTGTAGTTCCAGCTACTTGGAAGGCTGAGGCAGAAGGATCCACCTGAGCCCAGCAGGTCAAGGCTGTGGTGGCCGAGAATGTGCCACTGCACTCCAGCCTGGGCAACAGAGTGAGACCCCCTACTCAAAAAAAAAAAAAAATGTTAAAAAGACTGATCATGACAAGTGTTAGTGAGAAATGGAGAAACTGGAACTCTTAGCACATTCCTGGTGGGAATATAAAATGGCATAATCTGGAAAACAATTTGGCAGTTTCTTTAAAACTTTTAAACAGGCCAGGTGTGGTGGCTCATACCTGTAATCACAGCACTTTGGGAGGCCCATGTGGGAGAATTGCTTGAGGCCAAGAGTTTGAGACCAGCCTGTGCAGCATAGTGAGACACCATCTTTAAAAAAAAGAAAAATTTTAAAATTAGCTGGTGGCATGTGTCTATAATCCTAGCAATTTGGAAGGTTGAAGGGGAAGACTGCTTGAACTCAGGAGTTCAAGGTTACAGGGAGCTATGATCACATCACGGCATTCCAGCCTGGATGACAGAGTGTGCACTGTCTCTAAAAATAAATAAATACATACAAAACAAAAGCCAAAAAAACTTAAACCTAAATCTGTTGTAGGACCCAGCAATTCTACTCCCAAATATTTACTCAGGAGAAATGGAAAGCAA